GACTTTGAATTGGGTCATTCAATAACTTTGGGGTCTAAAATTGCAGGCCGCAGCAAATTGCCTGTCCGCTAGCCCGGGGCAATACAATTTTCATTCGGGCAATTAAAACCCTGACTAGCTGTGCCCATTGGGGCAAGTCAGAAAAGCTGATGGAAATGTAGCAACCAGAACCAGTCTATACATGTGCTGTGCGTTCCGGTCGATTACTCTTCATCGGCCGTACACACATGCAATTTGGTCTCTTATTTGTATTTTCTGTGTTCATGAGTTTCATTTGGGGTTGTGTTGTACCGGTACTTGAAGCAAGCGTGTTTCAATATATTTCCTGCCGCAGCACAAGGTTTATCGCCTGCTGGTCTGGATGCATCATGTATGCTCACCATGCGATACGCCAGCGTTGTCGGCCAGTTTGCCGTCATGCTTGCCTGAGTAGCACTGTGTGAATTGTCTACTGTGGAAATTTTTGCGTAGATTAAGACTGGTGTTCATCGCTTTGTACAATAATTTTGGAAGCTGTTGTCTCCGTTCGTGCCATTCAATCAGCACAAAGAACTGACCCCAAAAAACAAAAAAAAATTCCAACCTATCGACCCTATTTTTGAAAGGTATATAATCAGAAGCACATATATTTTTTTTTGGCCTTATAAAAGACTGCATGTATGTAGTTAGTCTTGGGCCAAGACGGCAGAACTCTATCGAGCATAATGTATGCTGCGGGCGCTGATTTCTATTGTGCTCTCGTGTGACTTTGTTTCACCAAGCGACGGCTCGTTCTCCTGTCGGGGGAATCTCCTACAACTGAAGCGTTGCCTTTGTATGCAAAGTAGTAGTTTAATGTGAATATTCACAGTTGACTTTAGGATGCGAAATAGGATACAAAACAGACCGTGGGAGCGTTGGAGAGGGTTCGCATCAATAGCGTCAGCTTGTTATTTCTTCAGTTTTGTTGTAGGAAATCTTTCACAGGCTTATTTCTTCGCTCCTTGTTCCAATGAATCGACCGCGGCCATTACCAACGGTGACAGTACCGGTACTTTGCTCAGCGTCTCGTTGCAACAGTTACACATGTACATTGTGTCGTGTGATAGGTCATGTGATGCAGGTCACTGATCTGTATTCATCACGAAAAAATTCAAATGGAATTTTCCCAGGCATTGATTGGTTCCTCCGGAAATCCAGAGGGAACTAAAGAAAAATATAAACAGGTTGACGGAGATTCCCAAGACGGTAGGACGAGCCATCGATTGGTGAAATGAAGTCACGAGAGGACGCAATGGAAAATCGGCGAGTGCAGCTTATTTTATGCACGATTGAGTCCGCTATCAAGTTCTGCCGTCTTGGCCCAAGACTAGTTTGTAGTAGGCCTACCGTAAGTTAAATGATCATAATAGTCATGGATTCTGAGAAATCTTTGGTAAGTATTGATCCAAATCGGGCTAGCAAATTTATGGCATGGCCTGCCCGACCGCGCAAGCAAAAAAAAAAAACTGTGACATTTTTGTGTCCTTGTTACACCTGACCTGTTTAATTTGACATGGAAATGTCATTTTAATCGATTTCAACTTATTTGTCTTTGGCGGGCACATGTAATTTGCATTAGTTTAATTCATCACTCTTGGAAATTGGAGAATGTGTTCTGATCACAGATCAGATGTGACAGGGACAAGAAAAAATGGGACACCTAAATTATTAGTCCGGTTCTGCACCAACATAATCGTGATTTCATATTCATGAGTTGGGAATCAGACCATTTTACAATTTTGGATGTTGCAATTTCATCGAAAAGGACCTTTTAGCACAGACAGGTTTATGTGCGTACGCGTTGTCTCTCGTCCAGGATGAAGGTGGACTTTGGGAAGCTCCTGCACGCTCTGAGCGACGTGGTGCTCCCAGGCCGCCAGCTGGAAGAAACCTTGACCCACCTGGTGGACGAGGAGAGCTACCGCTACCTCTCGGCCGAGGAGCGCAAGGAGATCTACAACGCCCACCAGCAGGAGATCACCGAGCAGGCCAAGAAGGACTTTGTGGAGCTGCTCCTGGAGCACATCGAGACGTTTGAAGACTTTGACATGGAGAATGTCAACGCTCACATGGAGGCCATCATCCAGCACAATCTCCAGAAGGAAGAGAGGTAAGAGTTTTGCCGGAGGTATTCCAGTACTCCGATCTGTCTCCTTCACGGGCTTCATCTCTTATATCGATCTTCAAATACTGGCCTACCAGTAGAGTGCTCAAATAAGCCTTTTGCGAGTTCACTTTGACCCAAATCTGCTACTCTGAGTTTTTAAAATTCATTGAACATAACAACTGGAATTCTCCTTACTAAAGCCACTGTTGCTATACCTCATGATTCGGGCAAGCTTTTGCTTAGTTACATAAGAGACGCCTTGCAACAATACACTGTTCTCAATTGTTAAGAAGGGCACAAAGGAACCAGTCTATTCCAGAGATGGTGGTCGCTATGCGAAAGCTTGCCCCAAATCACGAGGTATAGCAACAGTGTCTTTAGTCTGGGGAATTTAAATCGTTATGTTTACGTGCAGTCGGATAACTCAGTGCACCAGATTTTATTCAAATTTAACTCGCAAATGGCTTGGTGAAAAGAAATACTTCGATACGAGTCTCGAGCTGGACCAAAAAAGGGGCAATTTTTGTGGCAATGGAGGCTCCTTTGGTTGGAACTGAATCTCACTCAATTCACTGATTCACAAATGACTTGGAAATGTATGGTCACATCACTACCAAGGAAATGAACACTGCCGACCAATATGAGGGGGGCTTGTGCTTGAGGCGGATTGGGCTCTGTCCGGTATAGTTTGATTTTTTGTTGGCACTGCCTGACTTATCGTTTGACTTTCTGCGCTCGAGATGCCATACAGTACATTGCATTTGAAAGTTAACGCTACGAAAAGGAATGGGAGACAATGCGAAAGGAATTTGCATTTTGCATTTTGACCACAACTTTTACCCCCCTGCGAATTCCCAGCAAATTCACAGTGAATCGTATGCAAAAGGGGCGAATGAAGTGTGAAAACAGTGCGAACATCGTGCGAAAACGGTGCATATTTTTGCAAACACGGCGTGAAACATTTGCAAAAACATTGAGGAATAAACGGTGCGAAAACAGTGTGAAAATTTTGCGAAAGCGGTGCGAAAGGTTCCAAAAATTATGCAGAAACTTACAAAAATGAGAAGCATGGTGCAGGGAAATGCTGCACACTGGCCCCATGCGCACGACTATTACGCAGCGAAGAGTCCATTATGCAGGCTGCGCTTGGGGCCAGTCGGGACCAACTCACCATGTGGAGTGTGCTGTTGTAGTCTATAGTAGGGATTTCCTCAGCTGGGCCGTCTGGTCCATGCAGTGCGATCGTGAGCACGTGCTCACCACGGCAAGCCGCGCCCGCGTGGCGCAGTTGTTTTCGTGGACACTTGTCGGAGAATAAATTTTAAAAAGTTGTCTGGATTTTGAGTAATTAAACAGGAGTCCCCTATGAGTTATGAAGTCACGGAGCACATGAAATTTGCGTATTACAACAAACTTAACTTGCTCTGCTGTGGCGAGATGGGTTATTTGCCCACTTTTTATTCATTCTTGTGGTGTAGTTTGGCACACAAAATAATCAACACTGAGAAACTACATGTAGTATTTTGTTACCAAAAGGTTCCTTTCGATCGACAAATAAAACCAACTGCTTAAATTGTACGTGTATCTTCATGTACATGTAGCAAATCTCATCTTTTCGCTGTTTGTTTTCGGCGTGACATATCAGGTCAGTTTTCAAATGGGTTTTCTGATGACAAGTCACTTTCTGTGGTCACATAGTTATTGGAAAAATAACTCTACAATTCCCTTGTTTTAATTTTGGCTACCCGTAGTTTGTCAACTTCAATACATCGGGGAGCTGGTATCGGCCGTCCACTCTCAAACCGTTTTAAATTGATATGGTGTATTGACTCTTCCCCTTTCTATCCATCCGGTATGAAAGAGAGATCAGTCACCTTTTTTTCCACTCAGAAAGAAAACCTTGCAAACCCTATAATAGTGTTTACTAAATACATTGTACATGTACGTGTACATTGTATGTAACTGTATGCCATGCGCATTGCTCTACGGTAAGGTTCAGTTTTGTTTCAGCAATATCTTTGTGTTTGCTTTCGGTTGCTGTGTTTTGTTTGGAGTAATTGAATCCTCATTTTGTCCTTAACGTGGTTGGTTTTGCTTTCAGATAGTTTGCTTTCTCTGTTTACTTTTCAAACCTTTGCTAAACGCGTTGGAATTTTTTTTCCCCTTTTCATGAAAATCCTGTCTCCGCATGTGAAAAATGAGTTTCGGCATCTGTGTTTGCACTGGCTTGAAACTGTCGACATATTTATTTTCTAAACCAACATCCCGCTTTCTTTATCACATTTTCAGATGTGATCTTTGTTATTTCTTTTTTTACTCAGTCATTAATGAGGAACTCGTCAAGGTTGATGAAGTTTTATATACAGCGAAAGTTATCGTAGGGAATTATCTTTGCTTCCCAACTTTTTTAACCCTTTCCTTTTTCGTTTAGAATGTTAAATATTAGAATGTCAGACACTGCTCAAAGTCTGTGAGAAATATTTATTCAGTGTTTTACTTACAGCTTCGATTTTTCCAGTTTTCTCGTAGTAGAATCCTCCAAATGTCACCACTGACATAGGACGGACCTTATAGGCAATCTCTTAAGGGGCATCAAGTCCCAGGCAGATTAACAGTAAATGAGCTCTACAAGTACACGGGTGATTCCAGAAATTAGGGGTCCATTTTTTTTGTGTGTCCCTGTCGCATCTGACATATGATTTGGTAAGTTCAGAACACATTTTCTAATTTCCAGGAGTGATGTCTTAATGCAGATTACCTGCCAAACAAATAGGAGTAGTTTGAAACCGATTTCAGTGATGTTTCCAAGTCGAAAAACAAAGATCAGATGTAACAGGGACACAAAAATGTCGCACTTTTGGACCCCTAATTTCTAGAGTTAGGGATCGTTTCATAATTGTTGAAGGCAGTATTTACTCCGGTACCGCTGTTTTTTTTAGCGGCACCGCACTAGTTACCCGAAAGGGCTTAACCCTAACACTCCTCAATCCTCCAACAGATGAAGGATTGAGGAGGGTTAGGGTTAATGCTGGTACCGCAAAAAACAGTGCATGTACTTGTCTCGGTAATTATACCAATGTTTCTGTGGAACTCCCCTCCAATACATTTTAAAGAATTAGAGCGGTTGGAGGCTTATTATCGATTTCAGTTTTGGTGTAGATGTACAGTGTGCAGAACTTAATTGCAGCAGCTATGAAATTGGAAAAAAAAAAACCATAGGTGTAAGCGTTGATGTCAAATAGCAATAGGCCGATAGGATTGATTTACAAGACAGCGTAGCCAGGCAGTCAGGAATTGGTTGAAATGCCTGCAGTCTCTTTTCTTTGCAAAATTGTTACACAAGAGTGAAGTTATTTATTTTAAAGACTTGTCACGTACATGTTCGTGTAGCAGTGTCAAGAGGAAAAGTTGCAAGATTTGGTCATGATAGTGCGGACAAGGTCAAAACAAGGTCAGAACTTTGCTGGTCCTGTTGGTATACAGCCCTGTAGCAATACTTTCAATGTAAGTGTAGAAGCATTTTGAATCCACCCCGAGCTGAAGTGCACCCCCAATTGGCAAAAGAAGGACAAGTGGTTACAACCAGGTTCTTGCATGCATTCCGGAATATATTCATGGCGCGTACTCGGCGTGCTCATCACCAAGCCCGCATACTTGCACACCTGTGCGCTGAGTTGATACCAAAAGGACCGTCAATTTCATTTACAAGCACGCCCTCTTTTCCCAGTACATACCACAACTACGCTACAACCATATTTTACTTAACTAAGTTGTGATTTTTTTCTTTCACAGGTACAAGAACCTAGATGGTCTCACCCACGATCGGAGGCTACTACTGATGAAGCATGTCGCCTTCGTGGACAACCCTTGTCAGCAAACCTGCCCCTTCCAGCACCGATGCATGGACGCGCTGATCAACACTTTGCTGGAGCAACGAGTGCCCTGGTAAGTGCAGTGCCCCAGTGGGAAATGTGTACATGTACTCTCTTGAAAAAGGAACTTTACGTGCTAGAGAACATGTTAAACACAGTGAAGCAAAGTGTTCATTCCAGAGGGTTGAAGTTCCTAACTGTAACAGCCCTCCGTCCTCCGATTTCAGTATAATTTTACAAACATCTGTGAGGGTTCCCGGAGGAGACTTGAGCTACAGTGCATGTTTATTAACCCCTTGACGCTGTGACTATTTTCTGAAAGCCGACTCCGAGAATTCCAGTCTCACTTGACCACGAAGGTTTGATTTACACAGTGAAAAGGCTGATTGTTGGGTGGCATGCGGCTCTACTCACGCTTCCACATTCCCGTTGCCTCTTTTCAAAGTGGGGACTATTGTGAAGCTGGTGATTATGCAAATTCGGCCTTTTCATTTCTTGGTAACATACAAAGGCCAATCACCATATATACAAGAGCCAGGGTGTGCAACTGACAAGTCTAACTTGGCAGTTGATGAATAGTGGACCCGACCCACATGAAAGCGGGAATGTAAACAAAGAGTGATGTCAAATGTGTAAAATCAACCAGGACTGAACTTGATGGTTTGCCTTGTTTCCTCAAACTCGATCCCAGGTGCACAGAGAAGGACCAGCAAGACCGGTGGTCCGAACCGAGCTCCAAGCTCAACCTGGTCATCCTGGGAGAGAACGGCCTAGCCGACGAGTTGGCCAACGAGATCAGGGTGAGTCATTACCAAATACCACCTGTCCTGTATTGCCATTAACCCTCCTATGCTGAAGTCACTCTTTGGGTCATTTGGTAAACACCTCAANGTTTCATGTACATCATTGTGCAGTAAACCAAATGCAGTGAAGAGGACTGCACAAAAAACCCTGGGTCATTTCGTGCTGGCAATCTACTGCGTACACACTGAACCTGTGCATGTTTGAGTTCCATATAGAAACTACAGGCTCACCAGTGACTGTGGGCATTTGTGCACATTTGTGCTGTAAAACCATAGGAGGGTTAATGATCGTGATGTTAGTGATAACAATCAGGAAGGTGCAAGAATGTAGAACGCTGCCTGAGTCGCATCCCGCTCTTTCCTTTTTATAGGGTTCAAAGGTCATATTGAAATGGAGGTCAATTGGGGGGGTTTTGTATTATTTGGAAAGAGTAACCCATCTCCGATTAACTTCCAAATATTTCGCAGCATCAAATATTAAAAAATGTCATTTTCTCAGTAATTTTGATGATTGCATTATTCGTGCCTGGCCTGAAATGTTAAAACAATACCAATGTACCAGTGTTTGAAAATTCTGACTTTCGGCTCATTTTGTGGTGACAGGTCACATTTTATACCTTTTAGGGCTATTCTGAGGGGTGAGGCTCAGTTTTGAAGCTTTGTGCGTGTACTTCTTTTTAAGGAAGGGAAATACAATAGACCCATTTTTATTCTTTTCAGTAAATACATGTAGTTTTCTTATCTTTGTTTCTGTTTTTTTTGGGGGGGGGACATGGCCCCCATCCCATTGATCCGCTAGGGATTAGAATAAAGCTTTTTTTCCCACACCTTGTTGCGGCTAAGTGATTTGAATTATTCTTGTTTTATTTGCCGCAGGCCCAGTCCGTCCAGGAGGAATATACATTGGACAATGTGATTTACTCCCTGGAGCTGCGACCCATCGACGGGGATGTTGAGAGACCTCAGAACAGCCTGCAAACCGTGGACTTCACACCCCAAGGTGAGTGGTGTGAAGACATGTGACTTACATGTTTGTTGGCCCAGATTCAAATCCAGTGGTGTCTCTTTGTCGGTCGAATATGAAAAAATGAGGAACAATTCTCAATCCTGCTGAAGTGTTGTTGGAGGGCTGAACTCGGGATAAGTGTGTAGCACATTGTGGGAAAAGGTGAGCAGTGCACGGCGTTGCACTCATCTTTTGATTCGCCTTCCCAATCCGTGCTTTCACAACCAAATCTCCATGCTTCCCGTTCTCGTACCTGTAATGGATTTTGGGAATCATTCAGAATTTTTGAGTTTCCAGACTGGATCTGATATCTTTCGGTAGATGTCCATTTTTTTTCATTTACATATTGTTAGCAATGTCAGTCTGCCAGGCGGAATAAGGACCTTTGTAATTTTGGGCCGGCACTGTATTTAGAATAGCTCTTATTTGGTTTCAACGCCAGCTGTTGAATGCGCACCTGCTTTTTGATTATCAAAGTCCTGATTCACCCGGAAGTTTCCCCAGGCATTAACCCTTGACTCCTGACCTCGTCTTCTGCACCAGGTTGCATATGCACCTTCAGTTCCCTGGACGATCTGGGCTACATTGCTGACAGTCTGCGGAAAGGCCATTTGCTAATGTCCCCCGAAGGTCCGGAGAGTATCTATGCCACATTGCAGCCAGAATACCCAGTCGTCCTGCTCTTTGCACGGGACCTGTCAGTGCCAGAGTCGGATATTGCTCAGATGAGATTGGATGTGGAGAAACTGGCAGAGAAGTAAGTAACCACAACTGCAGTGTTGTCATGCCCTCACAACTTCTTACAGGTCCTCACTTGACATAAGAAGTCCTCATTGGTTGTCACTATTCCACACAATATCTCTTAAGTCTTCAGTACATGTATTTCTCACGGGTTTTCGTATTTCACATGTCCTCGCTTAAATCTCATGAGCCACCACCATATATCTCAGTCCTCACAAGTCAGTTTTAAGTCACAACATCTTTATGCCCTAAATTCCTGAAAGTCCTCACCATCTTTACATGCCCTCACAAGTCAGGAAAATGTCATAGGTAATTGCTAATCCTCATATTTCCCAAGTCCTCATTTCTCACAAGCAGCAAATATCTCTCAAGTCCTCACTCTGTCTTCTGATACTTAATGTGTCACATGCCCTCACTATTCCTCATAAGCCACCACACTTTCTCAAGCCCTCGCATGTCCGTTTTGAAGTCATCCAGTCTGAAATTTAGCCACAAATTATTTTACATTATTGTCATAGCAGGTTCTTTGTCAGTCCAGATTATGTTTTCTGTGTTGCTTGTGGGTGAGGCGTCTATTAAGCTTTACTTGGGATGAATTCGCAATGAACTTGATCGCAACTCCTCTGAAGCAGTGTTGACAGTTGAAACCCTTTGCCTGACGATAAGAGGTTATCGGCTCTAAATGCTGTACACTGTGTGTTGCGGTTTCCTCTCTCAAACAGGACTTTTTGTTACTGTTCTTGCTACAATTAGATTGTTCGACTGCATCATTATCGAAATGCCGACCGAAGAAACCATCATGTGGCATGGGAAGAAGTTCCACAACACGCAGATCCGCAAGTCGATCCAGTCGATTGTGGAGAGCCGACGGCGGTCCGGGCACGACCGAGACGACGAGTCACACGACGGCAGCCAGTGCGACCCGACCCTGAGGTATGACAAACCCTCCCTGTACGATACCATCATCCAGTCCAGCGACAAGGTCCAGTCCTTCCTGAGCAGCGGCAGCGGGAATAACACCCCGTCCAGCCGCGGCTCGGACGATCTGTCCGCACAGGCCCCGCTCGCGACCCGCCCCAAACTAATCGAGTCCGAGTCTCATTTTGAATTCCACAGCCGGGCGGCGAAGAGAGAGCCCCTGCCGGTCAAATGCCCCTCCGTGGGCGAAAGGCCAGGCTATGAAGACACAATTAGTGACGAAGAAGAAATGGATGAGCCCATTTTGAGGTATAACCTTCAAATTGTTTTGTAAGCCTCCTCAAGCCTTCTCTTGGTGAGCTAACATTCATCGACTCATCGAAGGTTTTCTTCAAATGAGACTAGTCCTCACAAAGGTCTGATGCGGTTAGCTTTACTAGCTTGGAAGCTGCTGTCGCATTGTTTCACGTGTAAGACTTGAGCCGGTTGAGGGAAACTAATTTTTCTTTTGCTTTTGGTATATAAGCTTACATTTATTAAAAAATATTAATTATAAAACAGGTTAAAAAAGTGGAAAAACTGAATGACCCTCGGGGAGTATGAACTTATGGTGGTGAGAAGTGGGCGTGGCATACACGTTGCCCTTATCAGAAGTCAACCATTATGACCCAAGTTACATGTCATTTAGGGTCAATTAGTTGTGGAATAATAGACTAGAGTTTCCGGACAAGAATGAAAATAAAAGGTCTTGTCCATTTTGCCCCTTAAAAGCCTGAACAGGGTTGCAGGCACACAAAAGGCTCAGTTCCTTTCACTCTACCAGCACAAGTAATGACTTGATCAGTGAGAAACGAGTGCTGCCGTAACGATTTATCTGAACAACTTGTGACTTGGAATATGTACTTGAGGCATTGGGTTGGTCTTGTGGGGTCTTAAGAGGTCTCGAGTAGACAGGGAACCTCACACACCATTAACCACCACCTGCCGGGGACTCCGAAATCGGAGCCGTATGGTTTATATGCGTGGCCGGGGTCTCCGAACTCG